TTCCTAGGATTGGCAGGGTATTATCGGAGATTTATTCAGGACTTCTCCAAGATAGCAGTACCGCTCACCCGACTAACCAAGAAGTCGGTGGTTTTTCGTTGGGGGCCTGAGCAGCAGGCGGCGTTCGAGACTCTCAGGCAGAGATTGTGCGAGGCTCCGATTCTTACCTTGCCAGAGGGTGTTGAGGATTTCGTGGTCTATTGTGATGCTTCGATCACGGGTATGGGAGCAGTGTTGATGCAGCGAGGCCATGTGGTGGCTTATGCCTCGAGACAGTTGAAGCCTCACGAGGCTAATTATCCTACCCACGACTTGGAGCTGGGGGCAGTTGTATTTGCCCTCAAGATTTGGAGACATTACCTTTATGGGGTCCGCTGTACTATCTACACGGACCACAAGAGTTTACGATACCTTATGGATCAGCCGAGTTTGAACATGAGACAGAGGAGATGGTTAGACGTGCTGAAGGACTATGACTGTGAGATCCTGTATCATCCAGGGAAGGCCACGTGTGGTGGCCGATGCCCTGAGCCGTAAGGTGTCGCGGCCCCTATCAGGGATTTGTGTATGAGGATGACGGTGATCACTCCTTTGTTGGAGCGGATCAAGGAGGCTCAGATGGAGGGTCTCAAGGAGGAGAGGCAGAAGTGCGAGAGGATAGTGGGCCGAGTAGCTTCGTTTGAGTACGACAGTCGGGTTTGATGACGCTTCATGGTAGGGTGGGTGCCGTACTGGGGTGGGGTACGGCAGGTATTGATGGACGAGGCTCATAAGTCTCGATTTTCTATCCATCCAGGGGCGACGAAGATGTATCGAGATCTTCGACCTGATTATTGGTGGCCCTGCATGAAGCGGGACGTCGCTTGGTACGTTGAGAGATGCTTGACCTGCCGGAAGGTCAAGGCGGAGCACCAGAGACCTCACGGCAAGATGCAGCCGTTGGATATTCCCGTGTGGAAATGGGAGGATATCACCATGGATTTTATCACCAAACTTCCCAGGACCGCACGTGGAGTGGATTCGATATGGGTAGTGGTGGATCGGTTGACGAAGAGTGCCCATTTTATCCCGATCCAGGAAAGTATATCGGCAGAAAAGTTAGCCGATATCTACGTGCGAGAGGTTGTGGCACGTCATGGAGTGCCGGTATCGGTGGTGTCGGACCGAGATGTTTGCTTCACGTCCAGATTCTGGAAGCGATTCCACGACGAGATGGGTACTCGTCTCCATTTCAGCACCGCTTTTCATCCGCAGACTGACGGGCAGAGCGAGAGGACGATTCAGACTCTCGAGGACATGCTTAGGGCATGTGTCCTAGACTTTGGGGGCAGTTGGGATACGTATCTTCCCTTAGCGGAATTCTCGTATAACAACAGCTATCATGCGAGCAGTGATCGACCTCCTTTTGAGATGTTATATGGCAGGAAGTGCAGGACCCCGATTTGTTGGGGCGAGGTCGGTCAGCGGGTCATGGGGAGCACCGAAGTGGTGCTCAAGACGACGGAATTGATCCAGCAGGTCCGTAGTAGACTGCAGACTGCGCAGAGTCGGCAGAAGAGCTACGCCGACAGGAGGCGTTCAGACTTGGAGTTCCAGGTGGGAGACATGGTTCTTCTGAAAGTCTCACCTTGGAAAGGTGTCATCAGGTTCCGGAAGAGGGGCAAATTAGGCCCCAGATTTATTGGTCCTTTCAGGGTTTTGGCCCGAGTGGGTCGGGTTGCTTACCGGTTAGATCTTCCTGAGGAGCTCAGTTTGATACACAACACCTTCCACGTATCGCAGTTGAGGAAGTGTTTAGTGGACGAGACAGCAGTCGTTCCCTTAGAGGACATCCAGGTTGATAGCAGCCTCAATTATATCGAGAAGCCGATCGCAATTCTGGAACGGAAGACCAAGACCTTGAGGAACAAGGTAATTCAGCTGGTAAAGGTGCAGTGGCAGCACCGGAAGGGGTCTGAATGGACATGGGAAACTGAAGAAGAAATGAGAACGCACTACCCGGAGTTATTCGCAGATCCAGCCGTTGCAGACTTCGAGGATGAAGTCTGAATCAAGTGGGGGAGAATTGTAACGACCCGTTCTCGGTATGTTAATAAATTGTCAATTGTCTAAGTTTTCAAGAGGGACCCGACGAGTTCTAGCCTGACTCGCCGAGTTGGGTCGCGCATTTTGTGCACGCGGGAGCCGGCGACTCGGCGAGTCCGTCCGTCTGGATGAAACCCTAAATCCCCGGGTTTGCCCACTATTTAAACCCCATTATAGCCTCATTCTCGCCACTATCACCCTGAGAGCTCTGTGAGAAACCCTAATCCTTCCATTTGTGAGCTTAGAAGTGATTTAGTTCCATTTTGTGAAGGTGTGAAGAAGGAGAAGAAGAAAGAAGCAAGGAAACAAGTTGTAGTGCAAAGATCCAAGGTCAAATCTGAGCTTATTGAGGTATTTTCGGAGTTCCCCTTCTGGTTATATGCTTAAACTTCCATTAGAGCTCTTTTAAGGGCTATTTGATGTTTGTTCCAAGCTTTATGTTTGCATGAATGTGTTAATAAGTCGAAATACCTTTGGATCCGAGTGTTGGGGTGTTGTAGAGCCCAGATCTACTGTCTTTTTGGAGTTACATTGCATATTAGCCATGGATCTACTCTTGTTGTGCATCTTTTAGCCTTATTTCCCTTATTCATGTGGTTGTGCACGTAAAGTTGGAAACTTTACGTGATAATACAGTTTATTGGACCTAGATCTATCATTTGCATGTGTTGGATTCAAGAGAAATCGAGTAAAAATCTGTTGCATGGCGGCGACTCGGCGATTCAGGTCGCGAGTCCCGAGTTCTTCAGTTTCTTCAGTGTCGAGTGGACGAGGTGTGTTAGGGAGTGGACTCAGCGAGTTGAGAGTAGACTCAGTGATGGAGGGACTCGGCGAGTTTGTTCATACAACTCGGCGAGTCCAAGGCAATCTTCTTGGGGATCAAGAACAACTCGTCGAGTCTGTTCATCCGACTCGGCGAGTCGGATGAAGATCATCTGAGTTTTTGGATCCAGAGGGTACTCGTCGAGTCGATGCCACACTCGACGAGTATCAGCGTGTAAGAGTTGAGAGGAGAGTCTAGGACTCGACGAGTTAGGTATCCCGACTCGGCGAGTCAGCCCTGAGTAAGTTGACTTTGACCAAGGGTAAAAGAGTTATTTTACCCTGAGTGTAGTGTTAGTGATTGATCGAGTGTGTTTATGGATTTGTAGCCGAGGAGATTCAGGAGCAGCAGCCGTTAGCTTTCCGAGCCACACACTCATCCGCTAGCTTACGAGGTGAGTTTCCTTCCAGTAGGGACGGGTCTAAGGCCACAATGCCGGCCCGTCCAATTAGTAGTAGTTTCCGGACTTCGGTCCGATGTAGTAGTTAGTATGTCTGATGCCTTCGTGGTTCAGACATAATTCATGCGTTATGTGTTATGTGTTTTATGTTCCGGGCTACGGCCCGATGCAGTATGCAGTATGTTTGTTATGATATGCTATGCTATGCTCAGTCAGTTCCGGGCTTCGGTCCGATGCAGGGGACACGGTCCCAGTCAGTTCCGGACTCCGGTCCGATGCAGTCAGTTCCGGACTTCGGTCCGATGCAGTTAGTTCCGGACTCTGGTCCGATGCAGTTAGTTCCGGACTTTGGTCCGATGCAGGGGACAAGGTCCCAGTCAGTTCCGGACTCGGTCCAATGCAGTTTCCGGGCCTCGGCCCGATGCAGTGGGCAAGGCCCAATATGTGTTTATATGTTTTGTATGGTATGTGGTAACTTTGGGGGAGCTCACTAAGCTTCGTGCTTACAGTTTCAGTTTTGGTTTCAGGTACTTCCGCAAGCAAAGGGAAGAGCACGGGATGACGGCATCGCACACACCACCGCCTCAGCTTTAGTCTGGATTTGATTTAGTTGTTGATCCGATGTAGTATGATACAGTTTCCGCACAGTACTTTATTATATTTTGGGACATATCACGCATGGTTTATTTATATGATACTCTGATTATAGTTTCGATTATATTAAAAACAAAAATTTTTGGGTCGTATTTTTGGGTTGTTTCAAAAAAAGTTTTAAAAAATTATAAACAAAGATTTAAAACATTGTATTAAAAAAACGCGTATGAAAAAATATCATAAAAATATTGTAAGAAACTATAAAAATAAAAAAAATAAAAAAATTGTTCACATTTAAACAACCTTCTTTTTTTTACACATTTGTTCATTTAACTTGTTAAATGTGTTTATATATTATTATTATCATCTGCTATAACCGGTGACAATTGTAATATGTTAACACATTTAACAAGTTAGATAGTTAAATGTATACAAATAAAAATAAAAATAAAAGTTACCTAAATATGAACAAGACAAAAAAATAATTACTCTCGCAAGTCATGTTTCCTAAAATAGTAACTACATTCAGCTTATTTTAGGCAATTTAAAAGCAATATATTGAAGTATTTAAAAAGATTTACTAGGAAAGTAACCCTACTAGGCTATTAGGGTAGAGGCAAATCAAAGAACATCAACGATAGTTGTATGCCTAAATAGTGAATATGATACATCCATTATAGAATTGTACTAAAATCAATTTTATCATATGGCTAATAATAACATGATATCTTATGTTTCATCACCAAAATTCCAAGGTATATTGCTCAAAAAGTTATATAAGTTAGAAGTAGGTCTTCATTTTACATATAAAATTTTGAATCAAGAGAAAATAAGTTATAATTTTATACCATTTACTACAAATAAATTAGGTTGTTACCTCTAGTAATTTTTACCAAAAAATAAATATATAAAAAATATTTTTTTTTATGCACTTTCACTCTGATGCAGCGATTATGAAACTTCATTCCCCGCCTTTTAGATTTTTCTTTTTAATTTTTTTTAATTTATAAATTCAGTACAATGTCAAGAAAAACAAAATATTTAATTTAGTAATTTCTTTTCTTTGGGAATTGAGACCAAATCAAGTCAACTCAGTTCCCACCTCCAAACTAAATACAAAATGAAGTGTCTGTCTAATATTAATAATAATACACAGAACGATTTGAAGTCGATAAAAGCATTAAACATGAAGTGTAGCTATTCTGTACTACTATTAATGATGTACAAGAGCATATATAGTGGCAGGCATTAATTAATTAGATTAGTAGTGTAAAGTGGTTACACTAATGCGATTTCACGGGTGCCAGTAACATAAGAAACAAAGCCTCTTCCACCAAAAAGTGGACGCATGAAAGCATCATCAAATTTCCTCCAGTAGTAATGAATGGTGTTAGTAGGGTTACTAAATAGCCTTTTTAGATTGCTTGTTACATCCTCCTCCCCTGTTTCTTCTACTACCACTACATTCCTATCACCTGAGCCTATAAGTGGCATCATCATCGACTTTGGACTCCATGCTTGGCTCTCATCAACATGTGAGGAGGATCCAGGAAACAAATACTTTACAATAGGCTTAGTCAGCAATCCAAACACCTATAATTAATTATTATAGATAAATAATTTCTCATGAATGATTGATTATCGGTTAAATAATACTCCACAAGACATTATTACCACAGTACTGAAAAGAACAACAATGATTGTTGTGGTGATCAATAGTGCATTTGCTGGCTGCATACTTTGCTCATCAGACCCGGTAAACTGTATCAACAGTCAGAGTAAATTACCAAAAATAGCAACATACTTTTTATATAGTAAAATTTAGTTTACCTACCTTCTTATAAGCAAGAGCCACGGACACAGCACCTCGCATTAGACCAGACCACCAAACTGTTACCTGTGATGTGACAGATTAATTTTAAAATTCAAAATAGAATTGGTAGGTAGTTGAAGTTAGTTAGTTACCTGTTGTTTAAACTCGATCTTGTTACTGTTTGATTTAGAGGTTAAGTTGGATACGAGTGAAATTGGGAACACAAAACATGCTCTTCCGACCATAATCAATCCAAGCAGTACACCACTAGCCCCAAAGGATTTCCGAGGACTGTAAAAACTTATTTGAATCTCGATCAAAATACTAAATAATAGGGTTATTATCTGATTGAACAACTAAAAAAAAGATTACCTGTCGTTTACAAATTTCCATTTTTCCACGTCTAGTGCGTCCATACCAACATACATGAAGATAAATATTTCGGAAATAAATGACATTGCTGCAAACGTATGCCTACAATGCAATCCAACAAACTCATATAAGTAGCAAAGCGGAAAAGAGTTTTTTGGTGTGAAAAGGGGCAACGCACTTTGTAGTTACTTGTGAATTGATGGTGACATTATGCCAAGCATAGTGCGACATTACAATACCACAAAAGAATACAGTAAGGATTCCACTTAATCCAAAAACCTACATGAATAAAAGGTTATTCATAACAACAACTAAAAATTAAAAATTAACCTTTCACTTACTTCAGCTAATACATATGAAAGGTAAGCCATGAGTATCATAAGGGAGACTTCACGGTCTGTTGAATTCCTGAATACACATTCGTCCCAATCATTTATGGTATTTTTTTTTTTTTTAAATAAAATATATAAATTACTCAAACAACATCACCACATACCTTCCAAAGTACAATGTTCTAATGGTGAATGAACAGAGCAGTCCAACCTACAAGTAGAATATATTATGAGCAACATTACAATACTGCTAAGTTTTCCCTTGGAGTATTTAACTCAAGCAAATGAACATGAACATGAACATGAACTTACTGAAACTCCCAAAAAAGTACTGAATACAAATAATGACAAGAAATTTCCAGCAAATTTAAGGGCAATGACAGAGTTCATGTCTGATAGGTCAAATTTTGTAATTGCATTGAAAAGAACCACAGATGTGGCATCATTAACAACACCCTCCCCAAACACTAGGCTGTATAACAGTGGTGTTTCTTCCTGATTAAGAACCTGCCCATTAGAAGATACAAAGTTAATGACATTCATCATCTCTGTAATTTTTAAATTAAACAATCAAGACCTTCTTACCTGCAAGGTGCAAACAGAATCTGTTGCAGAAAAAATGGCTCCAAGTGCTTCCCATAATTATACCAGAAGACAACAATTTGAATGAATAGGTTAGCATAACATGATCTAGCTACACTGATAATAAGTCATGTCATACCAGTCAACATTTCCCAACAAACGTGTTGAGGCAATCGATTAAAAAAAAAAAAAGTCAAAAGGAAAAGAGAATACATACCAAGATAATCCTTCGTGTTGAGGTAATCGATACCCAGTTTAGGAAACAAACGTGTTGCGCCTGAATTATTCAATCACCATAAAAACATTTATAATTGTGATCAAAGTTGGATAGGATTATATAATCATTTACACAGGAACTATTAAACACATTTTATTTAACCTACCAAATGAGATGACTGCAAAGGATATCAAAGTACCAATGGCTCCGAATGAGGTAATGGTTGTGAAATTCTGGAAGAATTGTTTCTTTTTAACCTGAAACCTGGTAAATAGTTAACCTTTCTCAGAAAAGGTGTTAAAATCAACACATCAAACACAAATCTTCTTTCACCAAAAGGCACATCAATATGAAGTATTGTAGCATCAAAACAAGATATGTAGGCTATTCACATTGGTTAGCATGATAAATGCTTGATTCAACAACTAAGAGCATCTCTCACCTACTGTTACTTTTACAGGAAACTAAGTCAAAGATGATATTTTTATCTTGGTAGATGTCCATACTTCAAAACTAGGATTCTTATAATCAATCATTTAATTGCATGCTACAAAGTCCATGAGAAACTTCAAATCCTTGAAAAAGAATAAGAACAACAGATAGAAGGTACAACTTACCCAGCATTGAAAATAATTGGTGGAAGGAGATATATAAAGAAAAACTCTTGCTTGAATTCCAATACGTGTGAGCTTTTACCACCAGAAGTTAGTAAAATAACAAATCCTGTGCCTAAACCCTGTCAGAAGTTATGTAATATTTACGTACCTCAACAGAGTACAAACTGACAAACAAAAGTAAAACCAAAGTTATAATATGAAGTCAGTAACTCACAATTGCAAGGGCAGTGATAGATTCGTTCATCCATTTACTTTCTTCAAGGAGATGACCAATTACAATGCAAGCACAGAGTAGGGCTGCAAATAGGGCTATGTGATGTACAAAATCTGTCTCCGGATCTGATGTCATTTGACCATAACTTGCTGCTATAGAGCTCACATCATAACTCATGTTGCAGGTTGGCAAGAAACTGAAAAAAAAATGAAATAAGATCCTGCAATGGAGTGCTGTATATCAACATAATGTCAATTTAAAACCTCTTAAGGCTCCTTTTGCAGCCAATTATTACTGCCTACAGTCATCATTTAGTAATGTATTGGGATATGGTAATGGCCTATGCCTGTCACAACCTTCCGTTGTTAAGCAAAAGGGAAAAGTGATATGGAAGGTTGAATTTCATTCTCTTAATAATTTCATTTGATTCAATAGATCATAAGGTGTAATTAAGCTTATTGATCTCAATTAGGTTTTTGTGATTCATATTGATCATTAGATGTAAGTTTCATGGTAAGTAGTCTCAATAACTTTGATTGATTCGTATCGATCATGAAATGCATAACTCATCTACTGGACTGGGAATATCTTTTTAAGCCATAATAGCCCATAACCTAGATTCAAATTACATGAATTCAAAAAATTATAGAATTAAAGTACAAGCCAAAATGATAAGAGGAGACAGATATAACTAATAATTCAATCCGCATTTTGCAGGTTTACTAAACCAACCAAAGGTTGATAAAGGCTGAAGCTAATTTGCTTCCATTGACTTGACTTTTAAGGTATGTTATCCATTTCATCATCAAGCTTAACAGAATTTTCATCGCCTTTTCAGCACCATTGCCTGATTAACGCATATAAACAGAGGCAGAAAACGAGAACAATATCAAAAGCTGAAAGAAAGAGTTCGTACCTCAAGAAATCGGTTGTTGATCGTGACAAATAATTGAACTGCAGCTGCGGCTTATAAATTTCCTTCTGGGGCAAAAATCTAACAATTTTGCTTCAAGATAAACCTTATATTTGGAAAGAATTAGGGTTTCCTTGACCAACAAGAAGGGTTCAACACGTTTGAAAGTAGATTCTTTCATCTGATTCGATAAAACGAAACAAGGAAGCGGAGAAATCAAGTTTGGAAAAAACCGGGAAGGAACGATTTTGATGTTTTTACTTTATAAGATTAAATTACATATCTCGTCCATGAGGTATTGCTAAAATTACAACTATGATCCAAAAAGATTTATTTAGTATAATTTTTGGTTCGAAATAGTTTATGTATAACAATCTAGTGGTTTTTTTAGCCATTAATTTTCGATCAGCAGATTTTATTAGTACAATTACTAAAGAACTACCGAGAACAAAGCCACACACCATAAGAAGAAATCAAAAAACACATATCCACCAACATAAGTTTGAAAAAACAACCAACACAGTTAAATTTTCTCCTTCTAATTCTATTAGACACCAACAAAAAGTATTGGGTAAGAATTTTATTTCACAAATCCCCCTTCTTGATCCGAGTAGAATAAAAAAACTATAAACACAAAGGTGTGTGCGAGAATGATCTTTCACTTTTTGTTTGTCACATCAGATTTTCTCACGCTCTTTTTTCTCTCACCAAAATTTAGGGTGTTTACGAGAATAATCATTTATTCTTTTTAAAATTTAAATATAAAAAATTAATATAATTTTAAAAAAATAATTAGTAAACATAAAAATTAATTAAAATTAAAAACACTTCATTCAAATAAAACTTACATAAAAGGATACATTCAAAACAAGCAAGATTAAATAAATAAATAAAAACAACTAGAAAACAATAAATATTAAAAAAAAAAAAAACACAACCTAAAAAACATAATTAATATCCAAATTTAAAAAAAAACAAATTATGTCACTCGAAATCGTTGTCCTTGTCATCATCATTATTGTCATCGTCATCGACATCCTCGCCCTCGACGAAGATATCTGAATTCTTATCTAATTCGTCAAAAAAAATCATCGTGTCAACACTCTGTCTGCTGGTGAATGTGGGTCATGTAAACGTGTTCCATCAAATTTGCACGAAGGGCGTGAATATCGCAATCATATACTTCTCTTCTATTTCCCCTATACTCTTTCATACCAACGACTACTCCTTCGACATTTGGCAAAACTTCAGTTTCGTTGTATCAGCATATCGTTATTCCTTCGTCTTCAAGAACCATATTATGTAATATGATGCGCGCATAGATTACATGTTGCAACCTTGTCATTTCATATGATCCTGCCCCAACTACTAGTACTTGTCAATACCTCTTGAGTACACCAAATGTTCGCTCCACGTCCTTCCTACTTGACTCTTGTGCCTCTTTAAACTTTTTTCTTTTTCATCATTCGGGCATGTAAACGATTTCACAAAACAGATAAGGTATGATATATACCATCAGTAAGATAGTATATGCGCTTATATGCTACCCATTTTGCTTGAAAAGGTATATCGTGTAACTTTCCAATGTAGATATTGTTGAATGCCGACGACTGGTCCAGAACATTGATGTCGTTGTTTGCACTAGTTGCACCAAAGAATGCATGTCATATCCAAAGATCATGTGATGCTATTGCTTCTAGAATAATCATCGGCTCTTTATGTTTGCCACGCATGTACTAACCATGTCATGCATTGGGACACAATGTCCAAGCCCAATGCAGATACTACTTAGCATTCATGGGAACTCATGCTTGCTTTCATGCACCGTGTATAATTGTGGACATCATTAATAGTTTGTGCAAATATTGTTGCACGTAATAGTAGCGGAGCCAGGACCAAAGTAAAGGGGTATCCCAATTTTTTTTAGGGTAACCTAATTTTTTTCCTGGGACTTGGGTTTCCCGGGTTCGGTTTCGATTTTAAACCCAAATTTTAATCAAATCCTTAGCTAACCTCAAGTCTTGTTATATAAACATGAATTTGAAGTATATTTTGATACTTGAATCGATGTGGGACTCAAAGTAGATATCAAATAAAGCATGAGCATAACAGGTTTATATAATAGAAAAAATGGTTGAGTTTACATGTGTTTAGCGATGTGGGATAGAATAGGTGGGAAAAATAAACAAAGAATATGTAAGAAGCAAGAATAGAACTTGAGACATTTGCTTGAATAAGTCAACACCTTAACCAACAAACCAATTGTTTGTTTGTATTTATAAGTTGAGGGATGCATATATATATATATATATATATATATATATATATATATATACCGAATTTTTTTTTTTTTTTTGAGGGATACGTAAACAAAAATTACACTACCGAAAAAAAATTTGAGGGGTATCCCGGGATCCCCTTGGATCCACCCCTGCCCGTAAACCAAAGTAATAGCCTTGGAGAACTTGTATGCAGATTCATGTATGGTACACTTGGACATCCTCAAATACTCGTCCCATTTTTCTGTGCCCATGTCATATGCTAACTGACGAATTACGGTCATGCATTTTTGAATTGCAAAGAAAAAAAAAACTTTTTTTTGCTTCTAACATCTCGCTTCCATTGGAACGGAGGTTTTCTTGGTTTATTTCGTGGACGTCAACTTCGTTGAGACGTTCAGCGTACACAACATCATCTGCAAAGTAGTTTTCTATAAAATAATTGTGTCCGGCTTCGCGATTTCTATGCAACGGAGGTTTTCTTGGTTTATTTCGTGGACGTCAACTTTGGCCTCGTAGGTTTTGAAATATGCATTTGTCTTCGCTATGACGAAACCGACAAATAATGTCTCTTCTTGAGCTGTCGAATTGGATGACGAAGATTTTGTTGGAAAGAATATGTAGAAATGGGTCAAAATGTATGTGTGTGTGTGTGTGTGTGTATATATATATATATATATATACACCAATCTTATTACTGTTACCAAAAAAAATCGACCAATAGGAATCGGAGAAAGAGTGCGGCAACTGGCTCCCGCACCACCATTCATGTGGTCACGTAGCAGTGTTCTTATGTGCGGGAACGCCTCCCGCAGCCCATTCCCGAGATGCTCCGTCCGGTCTTAGAATTTCTAACTAACCAAATGAACCACCGATTTGTGAAGAAGACTCCTTACAAATACATCTTACATGAAGACTACAACTAAAGTATACCAAACCAAGATGAACAATCTTCAAATGAGTTAAGTGTCGAAATAAAATTATTCCACCACATTGCTATCTTATTAAACAAAGCAACAACCATATGATTACCAAAAAATAAATGGTTAACGATTTCAAAAACTCATCACAAACGGACATAAAAAGAAATTAATCTCCAAAACCTCTATGAACCAAGTTATTTCTCAAAGGAATCTGATTTAAAGATAACCTCCAAACCGTGATGTTAACTTTAATCGAAACCAAACTATTCCAAGGAAAGGGATGATCAAACATAGGCGAAACATTTTGTCAAACACATGCAAGAGTCACACAAGCAATTAACATCCTATATGTAACACCCGTAGATCCGGGCTAGTCAATTTAGAGATAATAGGAGTCGAAAACGACTTTTCAACAAAAGATTATTTAGAATAAATAATCTTAACCAAGTTGTAAAATGTGTCTCAAGGGTTCCATACATATAAAGAGCGCCGAAATCCGAGTTATAACGAAGAAGTTATGACCCGTCGAAATTTCGCGACGGAACCGGCACGGCACCGGGAAGACGTAAATAGTAAATTTATGATAGAGATACTTTTAGCCTTAGTAATCTAAATGAAATTCGTAGAATATGTTAACCTGGGAGTGTCCATAAAAAGAACACCTAAATCTGACTTCTTATGAGGAAGTTATGATTTTTCGAAGTTTCGGCTTAGCGGTGTACAGCCCGAAGTTCGAGTATTAGATCGAGCGGTTTTTAGCCGACACAACTTAAAGAGAATCGAAGATCTCGTTATTAGTAGCATAACAATAAAAAGACAGACGAAAATGGACATCGGATGAAGAAATTATGAGATTTTAACGGACCAATCCTGTCCCGGCCTGTTAAAAATATAATTTTAAAAATAAAGTCAAAACTAGCCGACGGAGTCTAAACGAAATTTGTAGAGTATATCTCCGCCTACTCGTGGATATAAAGAACGTAAAAAACGGAGTTCGTATGAACGTGTTACAAATTATAATAACATATTTACGTATTAAAATAAAGTATAAATCATATATACGTACACACACACACACACACACACACACACACACATATATATATATATATATATATATACACATATGTATATATCTTAGAAAGGTATCAACGATGCGGTAATTATAAGACTAATATTGAGTTCTTTCGACATTAGTTTAGTACAAATATCATTAAATCCATTTAAAATAGTATTATAGAGGGGTGTTTAGTTGTTTATATAACTAAAAGTTCATTAAGTAATTATGGAGGGTAGTTTTTGAAAATTCAATTACTATAAATAAGAGCATTGGGCTCTCATATTTCTTGTACCATTCTCTTGATTCAAGAGTCTTTCTCTCCTTATCCCCCGAGCATTTCGGTCCCTCGTGATTCGACTTCTCTTTCTGTAATTTTTAGTATATAGTAAGGTGAGCGCTGAAACGCTGCACAAATCTTTCTTAGAAAGATTCAACGACGAAGTTCTGCCCCTGCAGAGCCCGAATCCTAGCTAAAATCCTCTTGTAAGTAAGTTATGCTTACCCTATTTTAAATATAGTTTATATTTAAAAGACAAAACTTCAAAAATGGTCCCTGTGGTTTCCGAAAATATCAAGTTTAGTCCCTAGTTTAAAAAACCTCACAGATGGTCCCTATGGTTTCAAAACTTTTAACAAATGGTCCTTTTCGCTAACTACGTTAGCTTTTGACCGTTAAGTGAAAGACATTTCTATCTTTTCATTACTACATGGATCATTTTTGAAGTTTTGCCCTTATTTAAAATATATATATATATATATATATATATATATATATATATATATATATATTATTTAATATTAAAGGTATCTCTCTCTCTCTTTCTCTCTCTCTCCATTGTTGTGCTGGAAAAGCGAGAGGAGAAGCTCACCAACTGCCATCTCCGGCCACCAAACGCCACCGTCAATCCACCATTCGGCCACAGAACACCACCACATATACCCAACAACCTTTATCCTTTACCCTTGGACCGTAGCAGCCATCAAGAACCACCCATCGTGACTCGTAAGTTACCAAGAATATGGTTCTCACAATGTGTAATATTGAAATCTCGTAATGATTGTGGAAGCTTAGATACGTCTCCAATGACAGAAACTCGAGTTTCATCCTTTTCATCAGAATTCCATTTTGAAAGTGGATTGAAATTGAACGAAAACTTATTCAAAGCGGTGGAAATTAGTCACTTATATCAACATAGAAGCAACTTCATCTTTTAATGTGTTTTCAAGCAGTCTCATTAAGAAATCAACTTCGACCTACATAAACACAACCAATCAATCAATTGAACCCATACAGTTCTTATGAAATTGGAATCCAATTTCGATATTACACATACTTTGGGTCTTAACCAATTGTTAGACGAGAAGGCGAAGACTATAAGAACTTGGATTCCCCACTTACGACACAGATCCACCTCGACCTTCAATGCTCTGACACATGTCAAGTAGCTCGGCTGAGGTATCAATCCTCTTGACCGATCCCATCTTCTGTTTCCGTCAATGATAACTTCAACATGCTTCAACATTAACTCGTGATGGAGTCCCACCGGAGTAATAACCGGTTCCTTAAACGAAGTGATTCTAGCTCTGACATATTGGTCGTTGGTGATTAAATGATGACGGGGGTGTTGATTGATAAAGAAAAGGGGTTTGAAAGGCAAGAGCGAGGAAAGGGAAAGAGATAGAATTATGAAAGAGGGTTTTCAGTTTCAAGGATGTAGATTGGAGGGAGATGAAGGAAAAACTCCACAATCGTTTTCACAAGATTTGTGCAGGAATCTGTAGAGAGAGAGAGAGAGAGAGAGAGAGAGAGAGAGAGAGAGAAAAGAAAGAAAGAAAGAAAGAAAGAAAAAGAGAGAGATAAGGGCACAACTTCAAAAATGGTCCCTGTAGTAGTGAAAAGACAGAAATGTTCTTCACTTAACGGTCAAAAGCTAACAGAGTTAGCAAAAAGGACTATTTGTTAAAAGTTTTGAAACAACAGGGACCATCTGTGAGGTTTTTTGAACTTAGGGACTAAACTTGATATTTTCGGAAACCACAGGGACCATTTTTGAAGTTTTGTCTATTTAAAATTAGTATTGTTATTATAAATTTATAATAAATATTTGATTTATTATTATGACTTATATAAGTGTCATTATAATATATTTTTAACTACTCGCAGTACGGGGAATCTGGTTTAAAGGGCCGTATAGGGTTGTTGGATTTCAGAAGTGCTATACGCCAAAATGGTCCTGCCCTCCAGTGTTTTATGTCTGGCCCCTGTCTGTACATAGTGGTTGAAAAGCATTGTTTAAACGCTTATAATAATAATTATAATAATAATAATAATAATAATAATAATAATAATAATAATAATAAGACTAATAATCAATCACGATAAATATTAGACTAAAATCTAGTGGTAATAATACTAGGTTTCATCGAAGGAAATTATTTTAAAGTAAACGAAGCGATGTCCGAGTACCAACTCACCACCTTCTCAGGTGAGTACATAGTTACTTTCATCTTACACATAAATATGAAATATTTT